AAAAGTTCCTGTGGCATCCCTGCTTCCTGAAATTGGGATGGCAGGTCCAGAATGAAACTGCAAATAAGGCCTGCCAATCGACTTCTTTTATCTGTTTGTTTAATCAATTGCTTTTGTAGTTCAGCATTAATGCTAGGCAATTGGAATTTAAATTAGTGTAAGGTAAAATAAATTAACGTTTGTGCTTGTGTGTGAACTCATTGATTCCACCTTCTTCTCCTTTTGAGATTTTATTTGCTTCAACTCTGCCTAGACCTCAAAAATAATCCCTCTTCAGATCACAATACTAGAACAATATGAACTATAAAACTCACAAGAGCTTCTCTTCAAGATGAAGCAGAAGCTCTGAAAGCAGTGAATGAAGAATTATTGCTGGTTAGGGAAAGGAAAAAGAGCTTTGTCAGAAGCCCACAGATAGAAGCCACAGAGAATACTCATCCTCACATACATTGCTTATTGTGGCTGAGCTCTGCCCTATACTGTATTCCACTCACCCTGAATACTTTTTTAACTACAAGAATTACTAAAATCAATTCTGGAACTAGAACCATGCATGTTCTGCCACAGTGGTCGGTTCCTCTGCATCCCCTTCCTTGTGATAATGTGCTTTAATAAAACACTGCAGAAAACCAACCATGGTAGAATCCAACTCTTTTCCTGTGGTGTGCCCATGCTATCCTGCATCTAGGTAAAACACCACAGAAAAGTAATTTTTATATACACCAGCTTCTACAATAGTCTGCTTTCCACAGGAATTTCGCAATGCAGTGCTTTAGTAAAACACTGCAAGAAAAGAACCTCGGTGCAATTACAGATACAATCTCATCAAAGTAAAAAATATATATATATTTTTTAGTGTGTTATCAAAGTACATTGGTGCACTAGCAGGCCTATGCATAGTGGGGTTTGTGGGTGGGTTGGTGCAGCCAGGTACACTTGCTCTAGGCCTTGGAGGGCTAAGCTGGCCGGGACGCCGCACCAGGGGCCTGCTGGACTTACCCTGTAATGGCAAGAATGTCCTGTTGCCTCCCAGATGACCGGGGATTCCTGCCTTGGGCCTCAGACAAGCTCTGCAGGGGCCTGTGCACTGGCAATGCTAATAGGGATGATGTGAATGAACAATGGAGGATTCTAACAAAAGCAGGTAATTTGGATGCAGGTATGCTGAGTTTTACGGGACGCGGGTGGCCCTGTGGGTTAAACCACAGAGCCTAGGACTTGCCGATCAGAAGGTCGGCGGTTCGTATCCATGCGATGGGGTGAGCTCCCATTGCTCGGTCCCTGCTCCTGCCAACCTAGCATTTCGAAAGCACGTCAAAGTGCAAGTAGATAAATAGGTACCACTCCCGTGGGAAGGTAAATGGCGTTTCCGTGCGCTGCTCTGGTTCGCCAGAAGCGGCTTTGTCATGCTGGCCACATGACCCGGAAGCTGTACGCCAGCTCCCTCGGCCAATAAAGCGAGATGGGCACCGCAACCCCAGAGTCAGTGACGACTGGACCTTATGGTCAGGGGTCCATTTACTTTACCTTTATGCTGAGTTTTGGAGGCACTCTGGAGGATAAAGGCTTTGGAAGTTCCTGCAGCTTGAAGGATTGCAGGGATGAGCTTGAAAGGACATCCCCACAGTTAAGACTGAGCTTTGGAGGTGCTCAGAAGCAGAGAGAGAGAGACCCCAAACCCAGCATGAGGTCAGAGGGGAGTCCTTGCCCATCTTTAACTTTATGTTTACTACAAATGCACACACAAGTACAAGAGGCATGCTCTCCACTTGTGGATCTCTACCACTGTTGTTTCAGTTATTATAGAAACTTGACCACAGTAGTTTTGCATTCTTTCCATAAACAACACATGATTCTGAAATTCGGTTCACAAAGATAAAAAGCAGCGCATGTTAGTAAATCTAGCAGAGGGAAACTGGCAGGCCTGGGATTTGGAAACTGGCTTCTAGTTGCATTTTGCAGACTGCTGATCCAGCTATGCTGTAGCTCAGACTGACAGGCCAGCATTTCAAATACCTGAATGCTATTTTTGCCTTTATTGTTTCATGCCTGCTTTCTAACACTCTTCAGTGGCATATGGGATAGAATCCTAGCATCCACTGCTGTTAGTGGAAAATGTAATCGCCTAGTTTAAGTCACAGGTGGGCCAATCATGTGCCCAAGCTGCTCCACCATGGCCTCTTTCAGCCAATCTGCTTTTAGCCCACTTGGTGAGCCATTTGTCTTGAGGGGCGCATCAGGGAGATGCCACACATTTTACTGCACCGCTACAAACCTACATTTCAGAGGCCCTGTAGTTGAATGCCTTCTGCAGAGCAGACTGAGACAGCACCTTGCTGACCCATTTGATGTCATCAGGCCAACTGAGAATCTGTGCATTTTGCTCTTCCTGCTGCCCACACCTTCCTCCTTTTCTACTGTGCCTATTAAATTACAAACCAGCCTGTCAGGAACCTGTCTATCCCCTCCTTTGTGCAGCACTCTGTAGAATTTAAAAGTGCTAAAAAAATAATAAAAGGGCGATTCGTTATTCCAGGAGTGCTGAGCTGCTGTTGATGCAATTACATGACAGCTGCTTTCTTCTCTGTTAATCCTGCCTGGGCTTTTATGTTTGTCCTTTAGGAGAAACTGGCACAGGTGACATCAGGTGTTTGGGTGGCCAGCAAAAGTAATCACAATCCAGGAATAGATAGCCCAGACTAGGCAACCCCAACTTGGCCCTCCAGCTGTTTTGGGACTACAATTCCCATCATCACTGACCACTGGTCCTGTTAGCTAGGGATGATGGGAGTTGTAGTCCCAAACAGCTGGAGGGCTGAGTTTGGGGATGCCTGGCCCAGACCATCTTGTCCATAGATGGAGAACATTTTTCCTACAGTAGGCTTTTTTTCCAAATCAATATCACACATCCATCCTCCATCCAGACTTGCAAGAGACATTTTCAGAGTTTAAAGATGCATCCCCCAAAAGGCAAAAATGTTCAGGGCACAAAGCAGAGGTATTGAAGGATGTGGCCCGAGGCAGCAACTTTCTCCAGATGTTCATGTAGAGAGAGGCCTTTATTTATCTAAATTACTTCTGTACCGTTTTGCGTTTTCTTTTAAAAAAAACGAAAACCCTCTAAGCGGGTTTAGAACTTATCATATCACCTGCTTTTTAAATCTGTGGGCCTTTTTATTATTATTTTTGAGGATGCCAAGGACTGAATCTGGGATTTTCTGCATGCAAAGCATGTACTCCGCCCCTGAGCTAAGGCTGTCTCCCAACACATAAAGGTTAAAGTGGAATCAGGGAAACAGTTTCTCTCCTCTCCGACTTTCTTTCCCTAACTCAGCTGATGTTGCACCCGCTAGTTATAAATAGGAGAATCACCTGGCCGTGTCTCTGATTCAGCATGCATCCACGAGGAGGCAATTTAGCAATATCAGCTGCAATCTCAAACGCTCTGGAGTGCTTGTTGAGTCAGCAGGATTTAGAAATATGCAAACCCTTCATATGCAAACAGCATCCTTCATTTGTAACACACCTGCCAATCTAGCACAGAATCAGACTCCCGGCTTCCCCCTTTCTCTATCTGTCCTCTTCTCTTTACCCCCACTTTTTTAAAAAACAGTGGTTACACTCAAGTTTTTTAGTACAGCCTTATGAACAGCTACTTGCCTGGCCACCTGAGGCAAGGATCAATGGCCTCCAGGCGACCAAACCAAGCTACTTTTACAAAAGGTCTGGTTCAGCCCTCCTCCCCACCTCCTCTCTTTGTGACTGTCCAAATCTGTAATATAAATTACTAACAAAGGCACAGGTGGACAAATTGTGTTGTTGTTGTTTTTTGGCATTTATGTGTTAAGCTGCCTTTCAACCCAATGTCTCCAGGGTGGTTGGTTAATGAGGTATACGAGAGCAGCTACATATCATATAAAACATGCTAAAAGTAATTTAAAGCACAGTATAGTCACTGGCAGCAAAAAACAGGAGAGGAAGATGATTTGGGCCACCCAAAAGCCCTCCAGATGGGGGGCACATCTCTCTAGAATCAATTAAGGATGGAGCAAGGAAAGCTTTCTAGGAAGGCAATTGAGCTGTTTGGAACCATCAAGAAGGAAGCCCTGTTCGCAGAAGAAGCAAGTTGTCCAAAGGAAATCTCAACACATATATAGGGAGCAGGCAGTCCTAAAGATGTCAAGGGGCCCAGACCATTTAGGGAATTAAAGGTAGAAAAAGAAAAAGAAATTGGCACTTCAAATTGTTGCAATATTGGTAAAATATTTCCCACAATGCTTATTCCAGGCCACATCCCAGGAGCTATTTTTGAACAAGCTGAAGTTCCTGGGCACTTTTCAAAGGCAGTGTGACAGGCTTTCCTGGTCTGTATCAGGGTATTGCCATTGTTTGTTTTTGTTCTGGAGCATTCCCTGTGAAAACTCACTCTTTACCGATGAATCAGAGCGAATGGCAACCTGCAGAAAACCCAAACTGCTGTTTGTTCCGATTCAGCGTTAAAGAGCAGGTCTTCCTGGGGAAAGCAGTGGGGAGGAAAATAATAATAAAAAGCGCTCAGACACAGAATGGGAAGGTGTTACTCTGTGCCTAGAAAGTGAGGGGCAAAAGTTAAGTGTGGATAAGTCCAAAGTCTAATCTGTCAAGTGGTCTTGTACAAACATTTCCAGGTAGAAACATGTGCAGGCTGGTAACTTCTATGGAGTTATTTGCAAGGTCATTCCAAATTATTTAAAAGCTTGGGGTGATTGCGAGCGACAAAACTCTTCATGATCGTCAAGATATACTGTAGTTAGAATGACTATACGAATGGCTAACAAATGGCTTGCACAATTTCCATTTGTCGTCTCCGAGGTAGCTAGTAAAGATTTAAGTGCAGTTGGCTTCAGACTGCTCTCTTTTACGGGTTTTTTCTTTTAAACACAACACCATCCCCCCAAAAGGTAAATAAATAAGGCAGTTTAGAAAGTGTACTGTAGCAAATGTGTTTGCACTGAAGGTACCTTCTGTTGAACAGTTCTGCCCACAAGCTGTCTGTAGGATATAGAACATCTCTCGAGCATGCTTGCCACCTTGAAGCACAGCAGTCGGAAGCAGAAAAAAAAGAAAGAACCGAGATAACAGAATGCAAGAGGGGAAAATAAAAGCGTGAAGAGAAAAGAGAGAGAGAGAAATGAGGGACAGCCGATCTAAGTTACCATCAAAATACATTTAGAAATGGGATTAGCAAACTATGGCCAGAGAATTTAAATGACAGACAACATTAGGATTGCAAGTCAATCACATATTATGGAAGAGAAAAAGGAACAATCCAGCCATAAAAAGCTTAGCTAAGGCATCATAACCAAAGCATGACAAAGTAGTATATTAAGTTAGCCATTTTCAAGTACAGCACCACAAATGCAGTCTTAATTCCGGGGAGCTAATCCCTTGTTAGTTTCCTCCTTATCAAAATCCACACCGCACTTATTTTCTCCTGCCTGGAAGATGCCCTCTGGCACCATGCCCACGCTTACCGACAATGTCAAACCACAGCGGGATGTTGGCAGGTTGCACCGAGACCACGCCAACGATCTCCGTCACTCGGTCGCTTTCCATGACGGTGAAGTTGTAGAAGGGCTCGTCAAATGTCAGCGGGATGGGGGAAGGCGACGGTTTCTTAATCCACTCAATGTGGAGGCGAGCGGTCGAAGATTTCTGCGGCCGCCCATTGTCAACGGCTTTTATCTGTTGCACATGGAGAGAGGGAAAGAATGCAGGTAACAATCTGGCAGACTCCTTTCTGAATAGAATTTATGCGTATTTCTCTCTCTCTCTCTGAAACAGTCCACAACTTTCAGTTTTCCGGATGTGAGTCATTGCTGAAAGATGATTTGCCTGTGCCCAGTGCCAAATTCAACCATAAGGTTTGTGTTTTGGTGGTTTGTAATATATATACCGTATTTTTCGCTCTATAAGACACACCAGACCACAAGACACACCTAGTTTTTGGAGGAGGAAAACAAGAAAAAAAATATTCTGAATCTCAGAAGCCAGAACAGCAAGAGGGATTGCTGCGCAGTGAAAGCAGCAATCCCTCTTGCTGTTCTGGTTTCTGGGATAGCTGCGCAACCTGCATTCGCTCCATAAGACGCACACACATTTCCCCTTACTTTTTATGAGGGAAAAAGTGAGTCTTATAGAGCAAAAGATACGGTGTGTGTGTGTGTGTGTGTGTGTGTGTGTGTGTAGTTGGAAGGGACCACAAGGGTCATCTAGCCCAACCCCCTGCAATGCAGGAATCTTTTGCCCAACGCGGGGCATGAACTCACAACCCGAGATTAAGAGTCTCGTGCTCTACCGACTGAGCTACCCTTTGGTTAAAGCAGGGGTAGAGAACCTGTTTTCAGCCCAAGGGCCACATTCACTTATGTGCAGCCTTTAAGGGGCCACATGCTAGTGGTGGGTGGGGCCAAAGGCAAATGTGGGCGGAGCAACAACAGGAAAGAGCTGTATGCAGATATACTGCCCCAAATACTGTCACTTTACTCCCATGATTTTCTAGGTTAAAGGGGGTGCAAACAGATTTTTCTCTGGACCCAAATAACGCAGAAATGAGCGCCAAACATGCACTATACCGCATGATTGCATTTTGAGTGGGGGTTACATTCTGGGGTTACTTGTTATATGCAAAAACACGCGCAGTCAAACCACCCTCTTGGAACTGCCCCCGCATGACCATCCTTTCTACAGCTGTGCATCGAGTCGTCCTTGCTCCCCAAGCAAGGATCTGGGATGGTCTTGCAAGATCTGGTGGTGCTGTCCAAGTTCCTGCGAGGTCTTGAGAGAGCATCCAATCTCAGTGTGCAAGGCAGAGAGCTTAAAAGCTGAAGGCAGCCCTGTTCGGGGAAGCTTTTGATGTTTAATGTTTTTAATGTTTGATGTTGTATTGTGTTTTAATTAGTTGGAAGCCGCCCAGAGTGGCTGGGGTAACCCATTCAGATGGGTGGCATATAAATATATTATTATTATTTCCATGCTGATAAAACCCTGTGCAAAAATAACTTTTAAGCTCCTTCCTTCCGTGCGTTTAACTTGTGTGATTTCAACCAAACAGCCTTCAACCATGCAAGGTTGAAATTAAATGTGAGTAAGATGCGATCCTACTGAATTCCATTCATTTTCCAGAAGTGGCTTTTGTGTGATGTGAAAGCTCAGATATACTGTAATGCTGAAATGTCAGGGGAATGGAATAAACTGCTGTGTGAATGCAGCCTAAGCTTCTATCCCATGCCAAAGAGGAAACATTGTGTATGGATCTGTAGCTGGTAGCTGGGCTAATTGTTTAAGCGTGGTACCAGAAGTACCATAACTCAGCTCCTGTATTGGAAGGTGGCTACGAGAACCCATCCTGCTTATTTTCATTCTAATGAAGATCCATCCCATACTCTTGGTGGTGGAAATTCCAGGTAAATTGCTCCTCTTGGGTGAAGATGCAACAGGATGAATTCACAGGTTTAGAACTAGGGCAGGACTGGAGAACCTGGGACCTCCCAGGTATTGCTGGACTACAACTCACATCAGCCCTTGCCTAAATGGAGATGCCCATAGACCAGGCATGGCCAAACTTGGCCCTCCAGCTGTTTTGGGACTACAATTCCCATCATCCCTAGCTAACAGTACCAGTGGTCAGGGATGATGGGAATTGTAGTCCCAAAACAGCTGAAGGACCAAGCTTGGCCATGCCTGTCATAGGCAGAGGAAGCTGGAGACTGTGGTGTGGGTGTAGTGGTTAAGAGCGGTAGACTCATAATCTGGGGAACCGGGTTCGCCTCCCCGCTCCTCCACATGCAGCTGCTGGGTGACCTTGGGCCAGTCACACTACTCTGAAGTCTCTCAGCCCCACTCACCTCACAGAGTGTTTGTTGTGGGGGAGGAAGGGAAAGGAGAATGTTAGCCGCTTTGAGACTCCTTTGGGTAGTGATAAAGCGGGATATCAAATCCAAACTCCTCTTCCTCCTGTAGTCCAACAACATCTGGAGGACAGAGGTCCCCCCCCCATGTGGTACATGGACAAATGCATATCTGCAGGGAGCTACATCAATTATACCTAGACCACAAGAGGGAAAAAGCTTTGGTCTGGCATGGGAAAGCGCAGCTTCATATGGTCCTCAGTATAGATCAGAAATAGGGAACTTTAAAGCCTGGGGGCCGAATGTGGTCCTGCAGCCTTCTCTATCTTGCCCTCCAGACTTTTCCCAGGCTACATGTTCAATTGCTCTGCTTTGCAACCTCCTTGAGTGTGTCTGTCTGGGGTGGGGGTGGGGACTGTGTCCTTGAACTGCAGCACTGCCTCTTCCTTGCCCAGATGGGGAGGTGATACGAGGTCCATGAAGAAACACCTGACTTTCCCGTAAGTTGGAAGGCAGCCCGCCATGAGTCACAGCTGTTGCTTCGCTCACTTTTGCCAGCGGCCACAACCCCTGGCAGCTCGCCGAGCGAAGGATCTTGCTCTCTTATTAAGTTTGTGTACGTAGGTTTTCCACATTCCAGGTAATGGGGCTGCATTTTCAAATCTGCTCACGCTTGGGCAAATCTCTAAATTAGTGCTCTATACGACTCGTGGCAGAGCTTAGGGCACCAGGCTCACATTTTATGGCTATGTCAAACCGCAGTGGGGTGGGAGAGGTTTGCAGGGAGGCCAGTCCAGCAATTTCCACCACCCTGTGGCTTCCCATGATCGGGATTTTTTGCCTTCTCGCCTTAGTAGGTATTGCTGTCTCTAACAAGGGCTGCTATCCAAAGCAGTTGGGTCTGAATAAAAAGGGAGAGGGGGCTTCAGAGCTGCAGCTGAGCCACTCCGAGGGGCAAATCCCCACCAGCAGCCAAACCAGGGGGCTGAAGGGGGACAGCTAGATTCGGCACTCTGTGTTGAGAGTGGGTTGCCGTTCATTAAACCAGATCCCAAAGAGAGAAATCTCCTTTTCTGCTTCACAGTGTGAGTCGTGAAAAGCACCTGCTTACAGTGTTGTTTACTCTCACTTGGAAATCGCTGATAAGGCTTTTTAAAAAAGATGGGGTGAGTGGGTGGGGGGGTTGGAGAAGCTATCGATCTGCATGGCAGACCACCAAACACCTGTGCCCACTCAATACTTCACTGTTTACCATTTGCTTAGGTTCCTCCTCAGTCTATTTCCAATCCATGTAAAATTGTTCCAGTGAAAAACACTCCAATTAAACGTTCTGTGTTAAGGCGAGTCTGCCAAGTGCCTTTTATATTCATTAAAGTCTCGAAATTCTTACATATATTTTTTGGGGGGGAAACAATCTATTTGAATGCTCAGTTTGATTGAGGACACCTGAATTCGACTTAGTGAGATGCTTCTGGCAAAGTATGTTGTTGCCAATGAAAGCTGTTGTTGAAATACTCTTGCCAGTTTGTAAAATGGCGCAGCACTTAGGAGTCGCCCACACTTCTGCTCGTCCCTAGAAAACGTGGCTATCAGTGGTTTTCTGCTTGACCTACACTTTCTAAGCATGGGTCCAAGCAGTTTCCCCCTTGCCCCACTCCTATCCCAGGGAAAACTTGCTCTTAAATCAGAGCAAATGTCAATATGAAGAAAACCCAAATGGCTGCTTGCTCCCCTTGGGCACTAAAGAGCAGTTCCCCCCTAGAGAAAGCAGAGGGACAGAAGAAAGTATGGATAAGCCTTTAGTCACAGGAAAATAAACTACATGGAGATACCTTTGAAGGCGAGTTGGAAACCTCAGCTAATCCAGAATGTGGCAGCTAGACTGGTGACTGGGAGTGGCCACTGGGACCACATAACACCGGTCTTGAAAGACCTACATTGGCTCCCAGTACGTCTCCTAGCACAATTCAAAGTGTTGGTGCTGACCTTTAAAGCCATAAATGGCCTCGACCCTGTATACCTAAAGGAGTGTCTCCACCCCCAACGTCCAGCCTGGACATTGAGGTCCAGCTCCAAGGGTTCCCTCACTGCGAAAAGTGAAGTTACAGGGAACCAGGACAAAGGGCCTTCTTGGTAGTGGCACCCACCCTGTGGAACGCCCTCCCATCAGATGTCAAGGAGATAAAGAACTATACAATTTTTTGGAAGACATTTGAATGTTTCTCCCACTACCTGCTACCTCATCCTCCAAACTGGAGAGATTAGGGGCTGAACCTAAGGACCTTCAAAGTGCAAAGCATTTGCTATACCTGTGATTTGCAGAGGCTCAGAGGTTAGTGGCTCTGGAGGTGCCAATTCAAGGAGCCCAACAGACCTCGCTTTGATGTTTAAGCCTGGATCCAACCCTTCTGATGGCGTTGGTCCAACTGCTGCTTCATGCTAATCTGGGTCAGGGTTACAGTCTGGTTTACTGCTCAGGGTCAGATATTATGGCCCCATTGAACGGGGTGTTGTTGACAAGAGGTCCGTGCAGCCCCTCACCCTTTTACCCCAGATTCTAGAGCTACTACCCTTTCTCTCCCCTGTAATACACACACACACACACACACACACACACACACACACACACACACACCATGGATGCCTTAAGGCTTAACCAATGTCCATGTGTGACATTTGTAGCAAGGAATGGCCTGTTCTTCAGCTCTCCCCATCTTCTTTTCAAAGGAAGAGGTATTTTGGGTTTGTTCCCTTTCTCTCCCCCCCACCCCGGGAAGCGGGGGGGGGGGGGAGAACTGGCAATAGTTGGCGCACTTCACCCATTTCCTTCCCCCCACAACCCGCATTGTGTGCTTGGGGAAAGCCCCCTGGCATTCAGCAGGAAATCCCAAGGAAACCCAAAATGGTTTTTGTGGTGAACAAGGTGCAGAGTCCTCATAACATCAAGTCTGCTGCATAAAACAACACTGAAGGGAAGCCTTCCTATAAAACTTGGAAGTGGTGCACTTGCTCATTTCAACCATGGATGGCTTACCGTTAAGATATCGTAGCTCCCGGCTGTGAACTGCTTTCTTGAGGAGACCATCCCAGTCTTCGGGTCAATGAAAAACTTCCCGTCGTCATTCCCATCCACGATGCTGTAGGAAATCTCCGCATTGGGGCCTTCGTCCTTGTCGAAGGCGAAGGCTCTGTAGATCGGCTCGCCTCTCTTCTTCCGGTCCCTCTCTGGCAACTTGATCTGGTAGACTTTCTCTGGGAACTGGGGCTTGTTGTCGTTCTCATCGAGGACTTGGACCACCAGCCAGACTGTAGACTGCTTGGGAGAGGCGCCTCCATCCGTGACCGTAACCTGAGGGGAAAAAACGGTAACAGCCAAAAGGCAAAATGTCCACAGGGCGTTTGTGAATCTGTTGTGGGAATACATTGAACCTGAAGGTTGAAAATTTGGGACAGCTAAAAGAACCACTTCTTCACGCCGAGCTGTGGAAGCCCCTCCCAAACAGGAGGCCAGTGGGTGGCCGGCCATCTTGGGATGGTTTTAAAAGAGGACTGGACAAATTCATTGGAAGAAGAGGCTATCAACACGCTAGTAGCCATGATGGCTAATTTCTACCACCCAGTCAGAGGGCATATTCATTGCCTCACAATATCAGTTGCTGGGAATCACAGGCGGGGCAGAGTTCTGTTGCATTTACTTGTGGGCTTTACCACAAGTATTTGGCTGGGCCACTTTGAGAATAGGATGCTAGACTAGATGGGCCATTGGCCTGATCCCAGCAGCATGGTGATGTGGTCTAAACCAGCCTCTGGGCTTGCTGATTCGGCACATGGGTGGGCTGTGGTCTAACCATGGAGCCTCTTGGGCTCACTGATCAGAAGGTTGGCGGTTCAAATCCCCTGTGGTGGAGTGAGTTCCCGTTGCTCTGTTCCAGCTCCTGCCAACCTAGCAGTTCGAAAGCATGCCAGTGCAAGTAGATCAAATAGGTATTGCTATGGTGGGAAGGTAAACGATGTTTCCGTGTGCTCTGGTTTCTGTCACGGTGTCCCTGTTGCGCCAGAAGCGATTTAGTCATGCTGGCCACATGACCCCAGAAAGTGTCTGTGGAGAAACACTGGCTACCTCAGACTGAAAAGCGAAACGAGCGCCACAACCCCATAGTCACCTTTAACTGGACTTAACCATCAAGGGGTCCTTTACTTTTAACTTTTACTTATGTTCTCAACATGGGATTCTGTGTAGTTTTGGTAAACCCATGTTGAATTTGATGGGGCTTCTTCCCACATAAGTGTACAGTGGTACCTCGCAAGACGAATGCCTCGCAAGACGGAAAACTCGCAAGACGAAAGGGTTTTTTGTTTTTTTTATCTGCTTCGCAAGACGATTTTCCCTATGGGCTTGCTTCACAAGACAGAAACGTCTTGCAAGTTTGTTTCCTTTTTCTTAACACCGTTAATACAGTTGCGACTTGACTTCAAGGAGCAACTCATAGCACGCGGTGTGGTAGCCTTTTTTGAGGTTTTTGAAGACTTTGGTGATTTTTGAAGCTTTTCCAAAACTTCCAACACCGTGCTTCGCAAGACAAAAAAAATCGCAAGACGACAAAACTCGCGGAACGAATTAATTTCGTCTTGCGAGGCACCACTGTAGTTCTGACTACAGTCCTAATCCGCTTTCTACTGTGGATTTTAAAAACTGGTGGAATACATCATTCATTATTGTCCCTTTTCACACGGAAATAAGAGATCTGATTTTTTACTCTGTTGTCAAATACAAAATCATATTTACCACAACAATTTAAAGCATTAATTAACTTGAGAGTTATATTTCAGCAGATGCTCACGCCCAACAGTTTCCTGTACAAAATTTATCAAACAAAATGTTGCATCACACAAAGGACTTTTATATGTGGAATGAAGAGTGCTTGTAAAATGTTTTATATGCCCACAGGAATTCATACAATCCTACAAGGATGCAAAAGAGCAAAATACCAACACGGTAAAAGAAAAAACACACACCACAAAACTGTCCTTCCCCGATGGCTGAGCGGGGGAAACAAAATAGGGATTAAGTCTATATTGAACTGTAAAATCAAGGCAGGAAGGCTGCCTGCCTGGCAGAAAGGGCCAACTGAAATCAATGAGATTTACTTCTGAGTATACATGGCTAGGATTGCAGCCAATAGATGGCTTTGTGGTAGGCCATGACTCAAATCTTTAAATTTTGTAAAGACTAACATGGCTATTCCACTGGAAATCCATTAACTTTGAAAAGGGAACACATAGGGAAGGTAACTTGATTTGGAAATGTCCGCTGATGGCTGAGATATGCCTGTTTACAAATGTGCTAACATCTACATGGAAAAATTATGTAAATTTTGGGCCAGCGTGAAGGATTGGAAATGCATTATCTACAATATTTTGAACTACTCAAATGCTCAAAAATGCATCAGAATGTATCTTTTGAGACAAAATATATTGGGTTGTTGTTTTTGAGAGAGAGAAAATAGGTTTAAAATGAGTATTTAAATGGGGTGGGGGGAAGGATGCAGATTTAAAGGCTTTTTTTTGGACTGGCCTTTGCCACTCAGGGTTAAGTCAGAAAAAAACCTTTGAGGCCATTTCAGTGAATTTGAGAAAATGTTATTTTATTCTGCAGAGACAGAGGGTGTTTTTTTTTTTTTTTTTGCTTCATTCCCTCCCCTGAACTTCTTGGATCTGACGGGCTATATAAATCAAAATTACAAAACATATAAAGATTGTCAGATTCAACCCCCGCCCCCCTTGGTGATTATTCAGAACCACCAGTTTGCACTTTTAAATATAAAAAGATGAGGTAGGTGTGTGTGTGTGTGTGTGTGTGTGTGTGTGTGTGTGTTGGGGGGGGGCAGAGGGAAAGCCAGCTAAATAAACTAACACAGCAGTTACCCAGCAAAGCAATCAGTGTGAAATGGGAGGTCAGAGCAACCAGACTGAGCAAAATACAAGATCTTGGCTCGAAACCATCAAATGCTGCCACTGTGGGAATTGGGTACGTTAGCAGCTTTTTACAAAAGCAGAACCCACGCTATGTTCATGCAAGCAAAATCCATTTCTGCCTCACTACTGTCATGCTATAAAAGTTATTGCTGAAATGGGGGAGGAGAACCCTGAAACATATATGGATTTCGTTCTTTTTTCTAAAGTGGCACACATTACTTTTATCTCCTGGAAGCTCTCTGATCTTGCATTATCTATTTCTATGATCTCCCCCACAGTTCAATTATCAGCCATTCCACTTTAGTCTGAAGTCCGGTTGTTAATTTAACTCCTTCTGCTCCCCCTCAGGGTTCGTTCAAATTATTTGCTCAATGAACTGTACTCTAAACCACAAGATCGATCTCTCTCTCTCTCTCTCTCTCTCTCTCTCTCTCTCTCTCTCTCTCTCTCTCTCCCTCTCCATGCAAATGACTGTGCTTCACATCAGAGAAGCTGAAGAAAGCAGAAGCTGAAATGTTTTGCTATAGTAATAATAATAATAATAATAATAATAATAATAATAATAATTGTACCCCGCCCATCAGAATGAGTTATGCCAGCCACTCTGGGTGGCTTCCAACTTATATACAGTGGTACCTCTGATTACGAACGCTTCTGGTTACGAGCTCCGCTAACCTGGAAGTAGCTGCTCCCGGTTGCGAACTTTGCTCCAGGATGCGAACAGAAATCGCACGCCGGAGGCCCCATGAGTGAAAGCTCGCCTCAGGATAAGAATGGTTCCAGCTTAAGAACGGACCTCTGGAACGAATTAAGTTCGTAACCAGAGGTACCACTGTAAAAGCATAATAAAACATTACACATTAAATGGTTTCCCTATACAGGGCTGCCTTCAGATGTCTTCTGAAGGTTATATTGTTGCTCATCTCCTTGACATCTGACTGGAGGATGTTCCACAGGTTGGGTGCCACCACCGAGAAGGCCCTCTGCCTGGTTCCCTGTGTAATCTCACTTCTCGCAGTGAAGGAATCGCCAGAAGGCCCTCGGAGGTGGATCTCAGTGTGTGAGCTCAACGATGTAAGCATTCGACATCTATAAGAAAACCCCTGCCTCATTTCCCCACAGGGGCTACCACATCAAGAAGAGCTGCCAGATATGCCCCACTGTTTTTCAAAGTCCTACTGGTGAGAGGAGAAGTTTAAACCTTTAGTGATGAACTGCAAACTACTGGGATCCAGAGCAACAGTACGATCTAACGCTTTGCAACTTCGATGTTTCACTACACCAACACGTTTTCTTATGATACATGTACCTCTCAGCAGGAAAATGTGTGGTGGGGCAGCAGTGCTCACCTGACCTCCTGAAAGCCGAGTCATTTTCTGCACAGTGGGAAGGAGAGAGGTTAGGCGGCAGGGAGGTTCGTGGTTCAAACACATCAGGAGGACCACTGGATTGGTTCGGCCTGTGTATTTGCAGGGCACTGACCTCCCTATTGCCCTGCCCCTCTCCATCCTAGTAAGCACCAGCAGCTTTGCTGTCAATAGGTTAGGTGACTTCCCCTTCCCTACACTGTTTCCTCCTGGTAAAGGTAAAGGGACCCCTGACCATAAGGTCCAGTCGTGACTGACTCTGGGGTTGCAGCGCTCATCTCACTTTAATGGCCGAGGGAGCCGGCGTACAGCTTCCGGGTCATGTGGCCAGCATGACTAAGCCACTTCTGGCGAACCAGAGCAGCGTACGGAAACACCGTTTACCTTCCCACCGGAGCGGTACCTATTTATCTACTTGCACTTTGATGTGCTTTCGAACTGCTAGGTGGGCAGGAGCAGGGACCGAGCAATGGGAGCTCACCCCGTTGCAGGGATTCGAACCGCCGACCTTCCGATCGGCAAGCCCTAGGCTCTGTGGTTTAACCCACAGCGCCACCTGCATCCCTCCATGTAAATGAATTTTGCAAGAATGCATTCTTAAGATTCCCAGTAAAAATACAAGGCTCCTTTCCTAATTTAGGAAGAAATGTGTTTACATTTCCCTTCTACATGAAGAAGCACAGCATGCCTTTGTTCTTCTGGTTACCTGAAAATGTTATCAAGAGTACACAGCCACAGAAATGGATACGAACAAATGACAAAGCAAACCTATATGCATGGCCTAGATCTCACTAAACTGGCAAACATGTCTCTGGACTACATCAGACTGCAGGTGGGCTTTGCACGATTTGAATGGTCCTCCACAGAAACAAATGCATACTGTATACCAGGGGGAAGGGTTTTAGCCAAGGCAGGGACATAAGGCAATATCTTTTATTTGGATCAATTTATGCTGGTGTAGGAACACGCATACATAATCATAACGTTTGTCAATTAATCAACAGAC